GGAGTTGTACCTATTTATCTACTTGCACTCTGATGTGCTTTTGAAATGCTAGGTTGGCAAGAGCTGGGACCGAGCAACGAGAGCTCACCCCATCGCAGGGATTCGAACCTCCGACCTTCCGATCTGCAAGCCCTAGGCTCAGTGGTTTTGATCACAGCTCCACCTGCGTCCCTAAAAGGCAGCATTAGCTACCAATTTTGTTGGTATTCTGTATTTTGTAGTTAGAGCCGTCAGTTTTTATTGCCCATGGGAAGTGCAGCCTGCACAGTTTGCATCCATATGAACACCTGTGGTATCAAAATTCCCTGTGGACAGATGAAAACCTTGAGGCTCTAATGCTTAAAAGAAGATGCAGAACCTAGAAGTGCTGCATCAAAACTGAATCCAACTTTGTTCTTCTAAATATAGAGTTAATATGCCCTGAGTGTATTATCAGCTATTTGGATTCATAAGCTGATCGGTGACAATTTCCATTAGCACAAGCAAAGCCCTGCTTCTGCTTCCTGTAGATGTAGAGTGTAGATCAGGAAATCAGGATTAAAAGTTCACACGTGAGTGTAACCACAAACTTATGGATATCTCTTACTCTTACAGCAGCATGCATCACTGTCACAGACCAGTGGAATCTCTCCTAAGGTACAATTTGTAGTTTGGGGGGGTCTGACAAAATCCTGCCAATAATTGACAGAAAGAGGTCAACATCATCAATTTTACATTGGATTCTGGAAGATAATAAGATCCTACTAAAGGGTTCAATTACAAGACAGGAAGCGGAACAGGCAATAAACTCAATGCAACTTGGCAAGGCACCGGGACCTGATGGTCTATCAGTGAAATATTACAAGACACTGAAAGATTGGCTTATTCAACCCCTGGTAGAAGTATCTAATTTGATTTTACGAGGGGGCAGAGCTTTTGAAACCTGGAAGGAAGCTTATATCACTCTGATTCCTAAACAGGGTCAAGATAGATTAAAACCTATAGACCAATCTCCCTGCTCAATGTGGATTATAAAATTTTGGCAAATATAATGGCTAACAGGCTAAAGAAGGTTTTATCTAGGTATATCCACAAGGACCAGGCAGGATTTCTGCCTGGAAGACATATGAAAGACAATATTAGAAATGTGGTGGATATCCTGGAAAAGCTGGAAGCAAGGAGGAGTTGTAAAGCAATGTTAATGGTTATTGATGCAGAGAAGGCCTTTGACAATGTATCTTGGAGTTTTGTGCTATATAATTTTGAGAGTATGGGGGTGGGCCAAGATTTTTTAAATGGTATTAAAGTGATCTATCAGGAACAAAGAGCCAAAATTATTGTAGCTAATGTGGTTTTGGAGGAAATTAGAATTGAGAAGGGAACCAGGCAAGGGTGCCCACTTTCCCCTCTGCTGTTTATTTCAGTTCTAGAGGTCTTGCTAAGTATGATTAGAAAGGATGAACAAATTAAAGGTATTACAGTAGGAACCAAACAATATAAATTAAAGCCTTTGCGGATGTTCTAGTATTGACATTACAAGACCCAGACTCCAGTGCAGTTAAAGCACTGGAGCTGATACAAGAGTTTGGGCAGGTAGCAGGATTTAAAATAAACAAAACCAAAACCAAAGTATTAGAGAAAAATCTGGATAATGATGAAAGAAAATCACTATAAGAAAAGACGGGCCTAGATATTGTGAAAATAGTTAAATACTTTGGGGTGAATCTTTCTGGGAAAAATCTGAATTTATATAAAGACAACTACGAGAAATTATGGAATGAAATTAAGAGAGATTTGGAGATATGGTCAAATTTAAAATTGTCACTAATAGGCCGGATTTCAGTGATTAAGATGAATGTGCTGCCAAAGATGCTTTTTTTGTTCCAAGCCCTCCCAATTATAGACAATGTAAAATGTTTTAAAGAATGGCAGAAAGCTTTATCTAGATTTATCTGGCAGGGGAAAAACCTAGAATTAAATATAAATTCCTTACGGACTCTAAAGAAAGAGGGGGATTTCCCCTGCCAGATTTAAAAATTTATTTTGAAGCAGCAGCATTCTGCTGGATTAGAGAGTGGATGCAACTAGAAGATACAGATCTATTAGATTTGGAGGGTTTTGACAATGTGTTTGGTTGGCATGCATATCTATGGTATGATAAGGTAAAGGCCCATAATGCCTTCAAAAATTAGGTAATTAGGAAATCGTTGTATACTGTTTGGATAAAATATAAAGATCTTTTAGAAAGAAAGACACCCAGATGGCTTTCACCAATGGAGGCAAAGGCCCAGAAAAAGTTAAATATGGACACCAAATGCAGTGGTGCCTTGCAAGACGAAATTAATTCGTTCCGCGAATTTTTTTGTCTAGCGAATTTTTCGTCTTGCGAAGCACGAAATCCCATAGGAATGCATTGAAAATCAATTAATGCGTTCCTATGGTCAAAAAAAGTCCAGACAAAGCCAAATTTGGTACAACACGAGTTTATTAAGTGCTCTTTAAAGTCACACATACTGTAAAGAGCATTTCAAAATTCAAACCCAGAAATTTTTTAAAAAACAGCAGAGTTGCCCAATGGTCACAGAAAATCATAAAAATGCAGAAAAAAAACCACAAGCTTCCAGATTCTTGCAACCTCCTCCCCAACTTTTTCCCCCAGCCACCCAGCACACAGAAATTCAAATCCAGTTTTTTTTAAAAAAAAACAGCAGAGTTCCCCCATGGTCACAGAAAATCATAAAAATGCAGAAAAAAACCACACAAGCTTCCAGATTCTTGCAAACCCCTCCCCAACACCAAGTCCTTGAATTCCAAACACCCCAACCCAAAATCCAACCCCCCCCAAAAGTTTTAAAAGCTTAACTTACCAAATGGCTGCAAAAGAAGTTTTGGAAAAGCTTCAAAAATCACCAAAGTCTTTAAAAACCTCAAAAAAGGCTACTATGTACACTACCTTCTATGAGTTGCTCCTCGAATTCAAGTTGCAACTGTATTAACGGTGTTAAGGAAAAGGAATCAAACTTGAAAGACGTTTTCGCCTTGTGAATGAAGCCCATAGAGAAATTAGTCTTGCGAAGCAGCTCAAAAAACGGAAAACCCTTTCGTCCAGCGAGTTTTCCGTCTTGCGAGGTATTCGTCTTGCGTGGCACCACTGTGGTTGAGATATTCTGATTTACTGTTGGAAGATGAAGAAGGATATAAATTAAAACCATTTGATCAAATTAAAGATAAGTTAAATTGGTTACATTATCACCAGATTAATGAATTGTATAAAATTGATAAGAGAAATGGTTTTGCTTCTGAAAAATCCAAGTTGGAGATGGAGTTGTTTGATAATAAAGGTAAAAATTTATCAAAAATGTATAAGTTATTGTTGGAGTGGCATATAAAAGATGAACAAGTTAAATCTGTGATGATAGATTGGGCAAGAGACGTGGGACATAATATAATGTTTGAGGATTGGGAAAGACTGTGGAAGAAAGGGGTAAAGTTCATTGCATGTACGGTGTTAAAGGAAAATATAATGAAAATGATGTACAGATGGTATTTGACTCCTGTTAAATTAGCAAAGATATATCAAAACTGTGATAATCTATGTTGGAAATGCAAAGAAAAGTAAGGAACTTTTTATCACCTGCCCCAAGGTGAAATACTTCTGGGAAAAGATTTATAATGTATTGGAAAAAAATGTTGAAATATACATTTATAAAGAAACCAGGGGCCTTTCTTCTTGGAATAACAGGTTTGGAATTGCCCAAGAAATATGTTAAATTGTTTTTGTATGCAACAACTGCTGCTCGATTTTACTAGCTAAAAAGTGGAAAACCCAAGAATTACCAACGGCGGGAAATTGGCAGATGAAGATGATAGATTTTTCGGAGCTAGCCGACCTAACCGGAAGAGTCTGCGACCAGAAGGAGGAGGAGTATCAGGAAGAATGGGCAAAATTTTGTGATTATTTAACTAAATTTGTTAAGTTAAATTAACAGGAAATAGCTTGCAGGTAACAGATTGGCTTAATATACTAAGTTAAGTGATGTTGAACATGTTTAATTTCAAATTGAAAAGATATAAGGAGGTTAACAGACTAAGTCAAATTTATAAGAATTATGATTTGGAAAGCCATTAAAAGGATATGCATGGAAATTCAACCAAGGGGAAGTGAGGAAGTCACTTAACAATGTTATTAAGTGTAATTTTAATAGGGTTATGATTTATGTTTGTTTCTTTGTCTGTCTGTTTATAATTTTGTGAAAATTAATTTTAAAAAAATGAAAAAAATAAAAATATTCACCTGTCTTGGGAGACACTCAAGCCAGTCGTTGGCCTCAGCCTTCTAAAAACCTGGGTTCAGAATTGGCCACAGCCAAGAATGGATGTATTAAATGATTTCTCATCTGCAGCCTAGGATTGCAGTTGCTTTTTAAATAGCTATTCATTTCCCAAATATTTCTAAAATGCAGCAATAACTTTCACCATGTTTGGCTTTCTAGTATTCTCCATGATGATGGCACCCCTGGTTCAAGTCCTTGTGGACCATGCGGTTTCTAGCTCTGGTTTTACCGGTTATTATGATGTATTTTTGTACTTCAGGTGAGGTCTGAAAAGTGCAGAATGAAATGGGACTCTTTGTTGCCAAATGACATTTGCGTTCTTTCACCAGCAGCAGACGGCTGGCTAATCCTCACTGAGGGCTGTCTTAAAATTTTGTACAGCTAGATCAGAGCCGCCAGTTTTTACTGCCCATGGGACGTGCAGCCTGCACAGTTTGCATCCATACGAATATCTGCAGTATCAAAATTCACTGTGGGCAGATGAAAACCTTGAGTTAATATTATATGAGTATATTATCAGCTACTCCTGATCCATAAACTCATTGGTGACTATTTTCTTTAGCACATGCAAAGCCCTGCTTCTGCTTCCTCCAGTGAAGATGTAGAGTGTAGATCAGGAAATCAGGATTATAAAGGAGCAAGCATTCACAAGTAAGTGGGAACACCAACTCAGTAGATATGACTTACTTCCCAAGATTCTTCTGCTGGGTCCATAGTCCGGATGTTTGTCTGTGCAAAAGATAGAGAAGTAAATTGTCATTATTTGAGAGGCCTTCCTGTGCAAAAAGAAACATTAATTTGATGTCCGTTTTGTTTTGAGCATTGGAATGGCACTTTCAAGTATGAGTGCCTGAGGTCCTAGACTAGGAAGTGGGAGACCAGTCTTCAAATCATCATGAAGCTCCTTGGGTGGCCTTGGGCCAGTCACTCACTCTCAGCCTGGTCTACCTGGCAGGGTTAATGTGAGGATTAAATTAGACGCCATCTTGTGCTCCATGGAGAAAAAGGTGGGATATAAATGTCATTCATAAATAAATTTCCAAAGCCTTCTGTAACAGCAAATCAGTATTATTATTTCCTATGATACCGATGGGGAGATCGAGGCTGAAAGTGAGAGTGTGGTTTACCCGAGGCCACCTGGTGAGCTCGTGGTAGAGTTTTACAGATTTGGATTGTCAGGAATGGGAGATCCTGATATGACTGATGCTCTCGTCAACATAATCATTTTTTCATAGATTGGTTTTCATAGAATGGTTGGGAGAGATCTTGTTTATATATATATTTATTTACTGCATTTTTATCTCTTTTGCAAAACAAAAGAACTCAATGGATATCACTTACTACTACAGCAGATTCCATTGTCGCCACAGGAGGCCCCTGTGATTTCTTCATAGGTACAGTTTGTAGTTGCTGGGAATTGGCAAGATCCTCCAAATAATTCACATAAACGTTGCCCTGTGTAAAAGAGAAGGGACATAAATTCTTTAAAAAATAAATAAATATATATATATATTTATTACTTTTCCAACAATTTAAGCACACACACATCCAAAAATAAAAAGAAAAAAGAAAAAAGAATACAATACATTACAAAAACACTACATAACACCTTAAACTAACAAAACAAAACAAAAACAATTTAAAAGACATCAAACAATTTCAATATCTTATCTTTCATTCACTTATTTCAGTGACCTCCTCACACCTCCCTTTTTGTATTCCACTTCTGTTGATTGTTTCAGCAATTCCTTTCCATCTTCCTCTGCTTTTTATCCTTTAATTATCTTAACAGATTCTAACCTTATTTAGGGAAATAAATTCTTTGAAAGGGGGCAAAGGGGTTTCCAACCACTTTTTCCCAATCTAGAACCATGCGTATTTAATGGGATGACCAACTTTTACAGGCTTCTGCTGCCTCACAATAAGCAAGGGTCAGATCGGTCCTCCTTCACTAAAAAAGCTCCAGCTGATTCCTGAACCCTGTAAGGGTGCGGACACTGAGCTGCACCCAGCCACTTGGGTGGTGTATAAATCATAAAATTATGATGATTATTACTGCTCCTGGGATCTTTTCTGCACAGCCGACAAGCCTATATCTTGCAGGTTGTTAATGCAAGGAGTGAAAAATGAGCAGATAATGCACCCACAGACCCACATAATTGGCGACAGAGTCAGCCTTCATTCCATTTTACAGCCTTCATTCCTTTGCTTTCAACATTTGCTAATCAGAATTATAGCTGTTCTGAGCTTCAGAAATACCTTGCCATTTGTGCCCTCTCTGAGAATGGTATTTTCTGGAATCTCCCCAGTAGTGTTGCCAATGTGTCTTGCTCAGCTCACACCCAAATGTGCTGGCTATAGTCTTTCTCAGCTACCAGCCAGGTGAGGAGGGGGTAAGGCCCACCCATTTGGCCAGGGGAAACAATCTCTTCATTGGCTATGAAACTTGCTGGGTTAGGTCCATAATGGAATCCTTCACCAGATTTTTACTCTTCCTAGATCCAGGACCTCTGGAATTAGAAAGGACTTGGGGATCATGCACACTAACTCTTCTAAACTCACAGCAATATAAATGACCACCATGGAACCTGCCTTGTGGCTCAGTCTGTATCCTGAACATTTCTGCTTTTGCAAAAGCCATGTATTCAATTTCAATATTAAATATATTGTTAAATACTTTCCTCCTCCACCACCCCTTTTTAAGCAGCCAGATATGATAGGGAGCTACTCCCTTCCTGTGCCCTCTTACCTGCAACAACGTGGAAGAGGATGGAGACCAGAGTTAAGCTCAGGTAGAGGAACCTCATGGCAGCAGTTTCCTCTGATATCTCTGCGAAAGGGAAGGCACTCTAAGGCAGAAGGAAGTGGCGTTTGGATGGAACAAGGAGGTTCTCTCTACTTATAGTGTTGCAGTGCCAAATCCGGTAACTGTCAGCATAGCATCTGAACCCTCCAGGCCCCTTTCTCTTAACTCATCCTAAGCAATTTATTTATCTTGCACATCATCCTAAGATTTACCCACACAATCACCTTTCTCATATATTGACAATCTGTCCTGTGCTCCAGGCTGCAAACAGGTATTTCGTGTAACTCTCAGCATCCAAACTCTTCTCTCTTAACTCATCCTATGCAATTGATTCATCTTGGAGAACTTCCTAATATTTACCTGCAGAACAGCCTTTCTCCTGCTGTTTTCTTTCCATATCAGTTAACAGATTTCCTGTCATCTCACAAAAGCTGTTGCCAGCTTCACAGAGCCTGGATAGAAAGGAACCTCTTTGGGTTGGACTGTTCAGTTCGACTGCAGTTGCCATACCAAGCAAGAAAGAAACTTTTCAGTGTGCTTTTCTCCTGGTCTGTACCTTTTTGGATTCAGTTTGCTTAACAGGCTTGTTTTTGTGATTCATGTAGTTTTATGTCCATTGCCGCCATTATAGGCTTCCCACACAAACACCCACATAAATCAATGACTTGATCCCATCATTCATAAGTTTATAAACACAAGCAAGAACAAGAAATGTTAGAATTAACAAAAAGAAAGAAACCACCAAGAAGATATAAGGAGACAACTGTTAGCAGAAACATTGTTTAAATTGTTTTGATCAGTTGTACTCTGCTTTTCAGCCAAAACGTTCACAGAGTGGCTTATGTACAATTTAAAAAACAAAAAGCCAAAAATGGCACACAAGCAGAAAAGGACAGGAAGGGAAGAGGAAAACAAAAACCTGAACTCCTTACCAATTGCTAGACAATCATGGCCAGCTGACCCAGTTCAGGACCAGGAGGTGCCTGATTCAGCTTGGCCTCCAGCAAATGCAGATGCAATGAGACCTACTTCCTATCTCTCCCCAAGAGGCAATCTGGTGGAGCTGTCCGTTAGGAGGTCCATCTTTCCTGCACTGCTTGCATCTCCCCTGGGAGCCTGTGCACTTTCCTTCCTTGGAGGTTTATCAGCAGAGGTTGGATGGTCATCTGTCATGGATGCTTAATAATAATAATAATAATAATAATAATAATAATAATAATAATTTATACCCCGCCCTCCCCAGCCAAGGCCGGGCTCAGGGCAGATAACAAGCAATAATAAAAACAAGTTGAATGATTACAACTTAAAAACAAAATTAAAATACAACATTAAAATATTGAAACATTAAAATATTAAAATGTAGCCTCATCGCAGGAGGAGAAAGGAAAAGAAAAAAGAAAGAGAGGGAATCAAATTGGCTCCAAGGCAAAGGCCAGGCGGATCAACTCTGCCTTACAGGCACTGTGGAAAGAAATCAGATCCTGCAGGGCCCTGGTCTCATGAGACAGAGCGTTCCACCAGGCCGGAGCCAGAGTTGCAAAGGCCCTGGCTCTGGTTGAAGCTAATCTAATTTCCTTAGGGCCCGGGACCACTAGGGTGTTGCTATTTATGGACCTTGAGGCTCTCTGTGGGGCATACCGGATGAGGTGGTCCCGTAGGTATGAGGGTCCTAGGCCGTGAAGGGCTTTAAAGGTCAAACGCAGCACCTTAAATCTGACCCTGTACTCCACCGGGAGCCAGTGCAGCTGGAAAAGCACTGGGTGTGGTTAAGAGCAGTGGACTCGTAATCTGGTGAACTGGGTTCAATTCCCCGCTCCAAATGGCACAAATGGCAAGGTATTTCTGAAGCTCAGAACAGCTATAATTCTGATTAGCAGATGTTGAAAGCAAAGGAATGAAGGCTGTAAAATGGAATGAAGGTTGACATAGTTGCCAGTGGTTCTGTGGATGCATTATCTGCTAATTTCTCTCTCCTTGCATTAACAACCTTCCATTAACAACCTGCAAGATATAGGCTTGTCGGCTGTGCAGAAAAAATCCCAAGAGCAGTAATAATCACCATCATAATTATATAATTTATACGCCACCCAATTGGCTGGGTGCAGCTCAGTGTCCGCACCCTTACAGGGTTCAGGAATCTGCTGGAGCTTTTTTAGTGAAGGAGGACCGATCTGACCCTTGCTTATTGTGAGGCAGCAGAAGCCTGTAAAAGTTGGTCATCCCATTAAATACGCATGGTTCTAGATTGGGAAAAAGTGGTTGGAAACCCCTTTGCCCCCTTTAAAAGAATTTATTTCCCTTCTCTTTTACACAGGGCAACTTTTCTGTGAAACGTTTGGAGGATCTTGCCAATTCCCAGCAACTACAAACTGTACTTATGGAGAAATCCCATGGGGCTCCTGTGGCGACAATGGAATCTGCTGTAGTAGTAAGTGATATCCATTGAGTTGTTTTGTTTTGCAAAAGAGATAAAAATGCAATAAATAAATATATATATAAACAAGATGCCTCTCAAATCAACCATTCTATGAAAAAATGATTATGTTGATCAGTCAAATCAGGACTTCCCATGCCTGACAATCGAAATCTGCAAAAGGACTCTTGGGAAGTAAGTCATATCCATTGAGTTGATGGTCCCATTTACTTGTGAGTGCTTACTCCTTTATATTCCTGATTTCCTGATCTACACTCTGCATCTTCACTGGAGGAAGCAGGGCTTGCCACGAGACTATGGCAAACAGAGCTTGCTGAACTCAGAGCCACATATCTCATCAATCAATGAGACAGTCCTCCGATACGCAGAGCCTCTGGGCCCATGACCATTGTCAGAAGCCCCAGGGGGAAGGTGTGACACACATAGCCCCCAGATCTGAGCAACCTCTCCAGTCATCTTCTCTCCAGAATGTAGCATGGAACGGACATAACTCATCAGTCCCGATATGCAGCAGCGACACATACCCAAAGATATGTGCACACTCAAGCAGCAGAGTATAGCTGGAAGCTGAGGCTGTGAGGTGTGGCATCTAAGTAATTTATTAAGCAATATATACAGGACAAACCAGTCATGGCGTCCTCTCACACCTTCTCTAAGAGAGAGAGAGAGCAAGTACAAAAGTACAATCCAACAGAAGAGACAGGTCTGGCATCCGTTCCCACACTTTCCAAGCATAGAATGTAAAAACAGACATGCGATGTAACAATCACACATCCAGCAACAGGAGAATGAAAATACTGACAGCAGAAGCCTGTAAAAGTAGGCCATCCCATTAAATATGCAGGGTTCTGGTTAGGAAAAAAAGTAGTTGGCAACCCCTTTGCCCAATTAATTTTCTTTTTTTATTTCCCTTCTCTTTTACACATTGCAACTTGACTGTGACTTATATGATGGCTCTTCCCAATTCCCAGCATCTGTGGAATGTCCATATGGAGTAGTCCCATGGGGCTCCTGTAGCAGTGACCCCTGCTGTATTCGTAAGTGATATCCATTGAGTTGTTTTGTTTTGCAAAAGAGATAAAAATGCAGTGTGTGTGTGTGTGTGTGTGTGTGTAAACAAGATGCCTCTCAAATCAACCATTCTATGAAAAATTGATTATGTTGATCAGTCAAATCAGGATTTCCCATGCCTGACACTCCAAATCTGTAAAACTCCACCATGAGCTCACCAGCTGGACTTGGGTAAACCACACTTTCACTTTCAGCCTTGATCTCCCCATCAGTACATAATAATGGGACATAATAATACTGATTTGCTGTTACAGAAGGCTTTGGAAATTGATTTATGAATGGCATATATACCCCACCTTTTTCTCCATGGAGCACAAGATGGCGTCTAATTTAATCCTCACATCAACCCTGCAAGGTAGACCAGGCCGAGAGTGAGTGACTGGCCCAAGGCCACCCAAGGAGCTTCATGATGATTTGAAGGCTGGTCTCCCACTTCCTAGTCTAGGACCTCAGGCACTCATACTTGAAAGTGCCATTCCAATGCTCAAAACAAAACGGACATCAAATTAATGTTTCTTTTTGCACAGGAAGGCCTCTCAAATAATGACAATTTACTTCTCTATCTTTTGCACAGACAAACCTCCGGACTTTAGATCACCGGAAGGACTCTGGGGAAGTAAGTCATATCCATTGAGTTGGAGTTCCCTCTTACTTGTGAATGCTTGCTCCTTTAAAATCCTGATTTCCTGATCTACACTCTACATCTTCACTGGAGGAAGCAGAAGCAGGGCTTTGCATGTGCTAAAAAATAGTCACCAATGAGTTTATGGATCAGAGTAGCTGATAATATACTCATATAATATTAACTCTATTTCTTTAAGTAAAAGGTTGGATTCAATTTTGATGCAGCACTTCTAGGTTCTGTATCTTCTTTCAAGCATTAGAGCCTCAAGGTTTTCATCTGTCCACAGGGAATTTTGATACCGTGGATGTTCATATGTTCTTAACTGTTCTTAACCTGAAACTGTTCTTAACCTGAAGCACCACTTTAGCTAATGGGGCCTCCTGCTGCTGCCGTGCCGCCAGAGCATGATTTCTGTTCTTCTCCTGAAGCAAAGTTATTAACCCGATGTAATATTTCTGGGTTAGCGGAGTCTGTAACCTGAAACGCATGTAACCTGAAGCGTCTATAACCCAAGGTACCACTGTACTTTGGTTTTGCTTTTGTTTAGTTTAAATCCTGCTACCTGTCCAAACTCTTGTATCAGCTCCAGTGCTTTAACTGCACTGGAGTCTGGGTCTTGTAATGTCAATACTAGATCATCCACAAAGGCTTTTAATTTATATTGTTTGGATCCTACTGTAATACCTATAATTTGTTCATCCTTTCTAATCATACTTAGCAAGACCTCTAGAACTGAAATAAACAGCAGAGGGGAAAGTGGGCACCCTTGCCGGTTCCCTTCTCAATTCTAATTTCCTCCGAAACCACATTATTTACAATAATTTTGGCTTTTTGTTCCTGATAGATCGCTTTAATACCATTTAAAAAATCTTGGCCCACCCCCATACTCTCAAAATTATATAGCATAAAACTCCAAGATACATTGTCAAAGGCCTTCTCTGCATTAATAACCATTAACATTGCTTTACAACTCTTCCTTGCTTCCAGCTTTTCCAGGATATCCACCA